AGCAGCTGCAGATCCTTTTCTAGCCACAGGGGAGCAGCTGGTATTGGTGGCATCATCCTGAACTCTGACGGTAATCTGCTTTGGACTTTCAGCAGGCCAATTGGGATAGTAGGTGTCTCAGAAGCTAATGTTAGAGCTCTCTTAGTTGACTTAAGGGCTGCCACTTCCACTTCTGCCAGTGTCTTAAGTGTTGAAGGTGACTCTATAAATGCAATCAGTTGGGCAGCTAATAGGAATCTTGGTCTGTGGAGATTGCCTCACTTCCTTGAAGAGATTCATGAGATTTCATCTAGGCTGAGCTGTTCCTTCAGATGGATCCCAAGAGGGATGAATTCAGTGGCTGACTCTCTTTCCAAATCTGAGGTGGATAGCGATTTTTTGTATAGTGCTAGTATTTTACCCTTGTAGTTCTTGTGTTTTGTTTTGGGGTCTTTTTGCTCTCTGTTTGTACATCTCCTCATGTCATGTACATCCCCCCCCCCACCCTGTTTTCCTTGAAATGAATAGTTACCTTTTCTCAAAAATAAAAAAATAAAAGAACACTTGTCTATCTTAAAGGGAGATTTCTAATACCAAATGGAAGATTTAGTTATTTACTTTTCTTTTTCTCCTTTTTGGGGGGCAGGAGCAGGGTTCCAAGCCCCCAGAGCTATAAAAATTGGCACCAGTGGTATCTCCCTGCATCATTCACTATCAGAAACTATACATAAGACATGCGGTGTCCTGACAAAAGTGGGAAGCCAAAAGAGATTGTTCATCTACACTCTTGTTCTGGCCAAGGTATTAATGGATTACGAACCTGGAAAAATGTTAATCTAAATGGCTTAAGCTTCCAAGGGTGGCTTGATATGTCCCTCATCCAATTGGTCACTGTCTGAGAATCCTCCTTGATGATGGTTCTCTAAAGCCCATAAAATGCTACTCAAATAAGATTATTGAGTCAGCAGAGCTAGGTGGGATGCCTCATTTAAAAGGAAAACAGATATTAAGAAGCATGGTTAGGAGATTCTGATTTTTCACATGACCTCAGAAGCTAAAGAAACTAGTTTTTCTCTAAGAGACGAGTGGGTGAAAGTATGGAGTGGATCTTGAGATCTTAAATATGTCAATATCCAAATCATATAGCCTATAGAAGAGGTTCGACAATGTGTTCATTTGGGTTATCACTTGCTACAAAATGGTAAGACGGTTACAGTGGTAAAAGGCAAAATATTAGCAGGAAAAAATCAGAATTTTCTCATAGTTTGAAGAGAGAAAAAGGGGAGGAGATTTGACTGTGTTGGGAGAATTTCAAGTGATTGACATTGATGGGAAGTTTTTTGGCAGATCCAACAAATAACCTGGACCAGTTGATGGGTCTGATCTGTTGAGGACCAAGCGTCCTTATTGTCAAATCCTATAAGCATATATGATGGGGATGCTGAGAAGATATCAATGTTGAAAAGAATAAGGTGGAAGTTGTTGCAGGTTGGTTTGAGAGGGATAAAAAGCTAAGGAAGTCGCAGAAGAGATTGAAGAGATTGAATGCAGATCTGTGGTCATTCATGTTTCGGTCCAAGGAAGTCGCAGAAGAGATTCTGAAAGAGCAGCAGGGAAAAGAGAGGGCTATAGACCTCAGGCTGGATTGGTGGTACCCGGCGGTTGGAGAGCTGAAGAAAGGAAGAGAAAATTATGAGACTTGGATTGGCATTGCAGGGATACCCCTCCACACATGGAGCATCCTCACCTTTGAAGAAGTGGGTGTGACGTGCAGTAGATTCCTCAAGTTCGACGACCGCAACAAAACGTGGGAGAAGTTGAACTTAGCAAGGATGCTGGTGAACTGGTCAAGGTAGAGAATCCTGCAGACATTCCTAGGAAGCTGATTCTGAAGTTTGCAGGGGGAGTGTATGAGCTGAGTCTGGTAGTAGAAAGACTTGATGAGACTTTTTGTAAAAAGGAGAAGCTACACTCGAAGCACAGAGAGAAGGGGAGGCCAGAGGGAGAGACAAGGTATTCTGAAGCTCAGGAGAGCACAGAGGAGAAAACAGGGGAAAGTTGAACAGGGGAGGGATGTGCAGTGAGGGTGAAGAGGATGATGCTGAGTTAGATCCGAGTTTAAATGAGAAGACACACATGGGAGAAGGGATGGCTAGAAAGGACGAAGAGGGGGGACAAGTGGATGGGATGGAGGTGGACCTGACTCTTGAATAGGAATATTGAGTGGGGCCAGGCAAGAAGGGGAGGGAGGGAAACCAAAGCTACTTCGGACAGACACATATGAGGGTGAGGAAGGAGAGATCCCAGCAGCACCAGAAAGAGAGAAGTCTCCAGTAACTGACAACCACGCTCCAGAGACGACTGTAATAGAGGTGGAAGTTGTTTTAGGTGAAAGGGAGGAAGAAGCAGGGGTGGACTCAGTAGACGAAGGCAAAGAGGATGGAGTAGAGGTGGTTGTGACCTCGAGCGACAAAGCTCCACCTTTGATTGGGATCGAGGTGTTTCCAGATAGACTTGAAGATGGCTTCAGTCGGCAGAAGGTGAGTGAGCTCAATGAGGAAGGTCTATCCCCTGGAATTTTCCCTTGTCTTTCTTCTCCCCTTGGAACATCTCCCATTTCTGCCCCACCTCTAATTAGGGGTAACACTGGGACTGTTGCTGAAGGGGAAGAAGGGAAGACTGTATCGGTATCCGGGGGTAGGAAGGCTGGTAGAAAAAGAAAAAGGGGGGTGGGAGAACCAAGTAGAATCTATAATAGGAAAAGGAAAACAAAGAAGCTTGGGGAGAATAAAAAGGGGAAGGAGGGATCAGGAGAGAAGGAGCTGAGGGACGAGGCAAAACGTATTCAGGAAGAAGGAGAGAAAGAAGATATCAGAGAGAAAGAGGATGGTGGGAATAGAAGAGTTAGCAGAGACACAGATAGAGGTAGGCGGAGCTTTGGGCCTGTTTTTTCTAGGGGGAGAAGAAGTGGTGAGAAAAGCCATTGATCAGTATGAGAGATCTAGAAGGGAGAAACAAGAAGAAAGATCTAATTGGGGAAGTGCCGAAGAGGGAGGGGAAGAGGGGGGAGGGAGACACGCAGGGCTGACGGAAGAGGAATAGAAGGGCAGATAGAGGGGGAGAGGGGAGCAGTGGGAATGAAATTGCTATCCTGGAATGTAAAGGGTTTGAGAAATGGGAAGAGGAGAGAGGTGGTCAAGAATCTTCTGAGAAAACATAATCCGGATGTTGTCTTGTTGCAGGAAACAAAACTGGAACCTTTTGATCTAAGGATGAAAATTGAGATTTAGGGGTCAAAGAGTGGAGAATGGGCTGAGGTGAATGCGGTGGGTCTGTCAGAGGGTATGCTAGTAGTGTGGAACCCAAGTAGCATGAGGAAGATAAAGGAAAAAAGGGAAATTTATGCCATATGTAAGGAAAGGAACAGAAGGACTTTTGAAGACAAGGCTTGTAGCATGGAGAAGATGGTTGCGGCTGTGGGCAGAACAGTGGTAGAATGGGAGTTGATTCTTCCTGAATTCAGTCGACAAAGATGAAAATAATACTGTGGAAGTACAGGGACCCCAGGATCATAAGGATGATGAAGCAGATGAGGATTTCAATCTTCAAAATGGAAGCTGTGTTGAAATTCATATTGCTAGGGTGGGGATTGAGCTCAGTCAAAGAAGGGTTGTTATACAACAAGATACCTCTTCTTTTCATAAAGATGAGGATAATGTATCAAGTGAGAATGAGGAGTCTACTGTTACTAGATGGTTCAAGGAACAGATTTGACAGAAGAACCGAAGAGCTACCCAAGTTTCAAAAATTTTTGCTTGACAAGTAAAAAGGCTAAGAAGGTTCAAAAGAAAGGAGGGTTGGAGGACACAACTACTAAAATAACCGAGTTAGTGAGTAAATGCAAAATATGGGAACTGATTTATCCTTGTCAGATAATGATTATGGGGATTACATGTGTGAGGAGTTATTCAAAGAGGACATTTGGAGATAATATGGTACATTGGTACTCCAACAACTGAGAACCTAACCAAAACATAGTTCAATAACTGAGTAGTCTATCCAAAACCATAAAAACAGGCTCTATAGATATGATTGACTGACAAGCAATATATATAGTGAAGTTCCAAATATGCAATGAAAGTCATAAAGAAAAATGTACATAGGTAGGTTTGGGTAAGTATGAATAATGAAACCGACACTGAGATGCAATAATTTCATGATAAAAAAATTATTACAGAATTTACCGTAACATTAAGAACATTTTGTATCATTAAACAGGGGAAATTTTGTATAGAGAAAAATCCATGGAAAACCACAGTTTCAATTATACTAAAAACTAAGACTTAGCATAAAATCACTTCAAAGAAAAAAAAAAAAAGAGTAAAGGCACAAAATCAAATCATGGCAAGTACATGGTTGGTCTCATGCTTAGAAGAAAACACAAGCATTTGAATGCACCTACTGGACTTGCAGTACTCTATCTATTATACAGATTGGACTGTGTGATTCTTGAAAACTGTCTATATAAGATCATTTTAGGGAGTAAAATAAAAGGAACATCATCGTGGCCCCCTCTATCCAGGGTCTGGGGAGGGGTGATGGATACATACCTAACATTCGACAATTTTTGCACAAAGTAACTGTTCTCATACTCAAACCCCCATTCTTACACTTGCACCAAGCAATGGCCCCTTCGAAGTAAAAGTGCATGTAGACATAGAAAAACATTCAAAACCCTAAGAACATGGACTTTGAAAACATACTGCAAATTTTGCTCAAAAAATATGGTTAAAATTTGACTGCAGAATGAATTTATGCAAATCTTACAGAAATTGTGGAATGACACCTTCTCTTTCCTCACCATCCCTCTCCTTTGTTTGGTTATTTATTTATTTATTTTTCAGGTAACCATTGAACAAAAATTGTACAGTATGTTTTTAGTTAGCCAACTATACAGTATGTTCTCAAATAACTACATAGTAGTAAACCTCCTGAAGTATGAATTCAACTAGAATACAGTAGATAAACCACACCATCACGCTACTATCAGTTTCGAAGTCAAGATTGCACTCCGGTCACAACATAAACTGATATAATATTAATTCAATGAATGTTTCCCCCGGTACCTGGGGCACCCTAATTATTCAAGATAAAAGCATTCCACAATTACATAAAATTGGAAGAGGAAAAATTGGATCATGCAGCATTCCCTGCAGGGACTAACTCATTAGATAAAACCACATCGGAAATAGGCACAAGAAGAATAAACCCTAGATGGGCACGTATCTCTTCAGAACCTGCTTCCCAGCAACCGCAGCTCCAACCATCAAACCCCCAATAGCTCCGGCAACCGCCGCTGACCTCGGACCGGACGCAGCTTTGAACAGCGCCCCCGTCCCAAGCCCAGCCAAGACGCTGTTAATAACGTCATCGGTATCTCTGACAGCAACTATTCCGCTCTCCAACCCAGCGTATAACAACCCAATCACGCCAACACGATTACCCAATTTCCTGCCAGAGTGACCTGACGCATTGAGAACCCGATTGATGCGAAGTTTCAACGTGTCACCTTCTTCCGAAGCTTTTACACCGTCTACAAATCCCTTTCCGGCACCCGCTATTGCACCGGCGAGATAGCCACAGCCGGTGTAGTAGGTCAGATTCTCCCCCCATGTTCGGCGTTGAGCGACGGCTTCTTCTTGGAAGAGAAATTCAGGCGAGGTCGGTAGCTTATACAGGGTTTGGATCGGGAGTTGCAGATCCTGGTAGGGATTGTACAGGCGAGGAGGATGGTCGTCATCCCTATCACTTCTTGAATCTGTCATTTTTTTTCCCTCCCCTAGATCTGTTTAGGGGTTTGCTTCTTGATTCCTTCCTTTAGGATTGGAAATCGGAGACCTTTTAGGGTTGCGGTTCAAAGTTTCAATGATCAGAGGAAGGAAAGAAGGGAGGAAGGCGAGATTTATTTTCCCAGACCAAACGCCGCCTTAGACGAGTCCGGAGAGACTAGAGTCTAGAGAGAGGGAGAGAAACAACTCCCCTCTCCAAGTCTCCAGATGTGCGTCGAGAGTATTGGTCGGTTGACTCGTAATTACTAAAATATCCCTGCACTCCAAATCTAAATGCATGTGCCGGCCTTTTGGGAATTCCGGCAATTTCTTTCCTAAAATCCCCCCAGTAATTGTACTAATGTTGCTGAAACGGACATCATTATTAAATCTGGTGAAGGGGCCCACTTAAAAAAAGAATGGCACCATATATTATTCCAGATTCGTGGTGTTGGCAGAGACACATACAAATAATACAAAGCAAACTAGAGTGCCCAAGGCACGACCACAATATTCCAGATTCATGGTATTTTGACATTGAAGATTGATTGCAAATAAGCATTAAGCAACCAGAGTCCAGAGATGCTCTCTTTCCGTGGCTTACACAGTTACACTTACCACAACTGTAGTCCTTTCTTTTCGTGGCCCCACCCAACCCCAAATGCCCAAAATAAAACTCTATTTCATGATCCCTTGATTCTTCTTATCTTTTCTTTCCCTTGTGAAAACGCAGCTCCTCTCCAGTTTCCATGGATACCCTGTCGACCTCTGTTTCTAGTCTGAAGGCCCCTGGCCTTCCTACAACAGCTCCTCGTGAAACCTTTCACTTTAGATCTCCTCATACGCCTTTCCTTCTTCCTCACTACCACCACCTTTCCACCCACCGACCCAATTCTACCTTTAATAAACCCTCGCTTCCCTTTACTTCCAAGAGCTATAAATCCCCATTCCTCCCTTCTTCTCAGCCCTCATCATTGAGATCTCCATCTCCAGTCGTCCACCGGAAAGCCGCTAGTGGTTATGCAGCTGCCCTAATGGACAGAGCCCGGTGCAGCAACGTCCTTGAGGCTGTGGAACATGATGTTCGAAGATTTTCGAGGTTGTTTCATAGTGAACATCTTCGAGCTATCTTGAACGATCCATTCGTGGACGACAAAACGAAAGGTGAAGAGGTGAAGCAAGTTGTCGAGAAGGGTAGATTTCAGAAGCATTTGGCGGTGCTGTTGAAGATGATGATTGAGAAGAATAAGATGGGGATGGTGAATGAGGTATTGCAGGAATTCCAGAGGATTTACGACGAGTTGAGTGGGACTCGGATCGTCTTAGTTTCATCGGCTAGGAAGATGGAGGAAGATCAATTGTTTGGGATAGCTAAAAGGGTGCAGAGTCTGAGTGGAGCCATGAAAATCAAGGTGAGGCATTTGATCGATGAGAGTTTATCTTCCTCTGCTCTATAAACTTCACCATCAATTGGGTTCTTGCGCTTTTAATCTAAGCCACATGCACACTTGATACTTGTGGTAGGAGGCTGAGGTTTTGAGGTTTGGAATGTAGTTAATGGAGGGAAGCAAGGACTACTGTGTGCTAATGAATTCAATATTAGCTAGAATGCTTGAACTTAATTCCCTGCTTCTCTATGGTTTTCTTGGAGTTAACACACATCAGTCTTAAATAACAAGAGAACGCAGCTGTTGGTTCTCTGCTCTGGTTAGCCCCAAAGATAGTGACCCTTGGAATGTACTTGTAGCCTCCCAACCATTTGATGACTTAAATAATAATGTATTCAATCAAACAATTAATTTAATTCTATACACTAGCATTTGTCACACTATATCTGAACTATTTTCATTGCAGTATCTAAACTTTCAATATCAAATTAGTCCTGTCAGATATTTATTGTCAAAACTATCTGATTTCTGCCACAGACCGTAGACGGTACACTTCACGCGGTAACTCCCTCTCTCCATTTAGCGTTTAAGGGGGTGCATCATGCATGCTTTGATTCCTTTGAGCCAACACAAAAGCCTTATAGAGAAAAAGATATATCGTTGGTTTTCCCCCCTCTTGTTTTTGAGCATAATCAGTAACCTAACACTCCCTCTCTCCATCCAAATCATATATACATTTTTACCAGTAATGTGCTTAATAGAATGTTCATTACAAATTTTGTTTGGATAGGGGATTGAATTCGGATTGCCCTCAACCAAATAAACGGATCTTTAGATCAATATATAGCGCCTCACTCCAAAGCAAGGTTATTTGTTACCGATACAATATATCGATGGGAGACTTGGATGCTTGGGGGGTACCCACTGGCATGTCTAAACCAACTGGTCTCCCAAACACCACTTCAGTCTCTGAGATTCTCTCTGTAAGTTATTCTCCGCAACTGCCCTTTTGGTTTTATTTCTCTCTATAAGTCATTTTCACCTTCACATCTCTAAAACCCATAGCTTATGTGAATTGAATGTCTTCATATTTTGTACATAGTTTTTGGCCTACCTTAGTCCGGGACTTAAAACATTTCGAGAAATCGCAGAAACTCCAGATTTCTGTGCCTTTTGCAAATGGATCTGCGTTGCCTCCTGTTTATGACACAAGCTCGTTGCTTGCAACCTCGCCTTCTTACCCTATAGTGTTGGGCTCCATCCCGACGGCAACTTCTTCTTCGCTACTGCCATTGCAAAGCCTCTCCACTTCCATTGCGACTGCAATTAGATTAGTGATCTTTAAAAATATCAGTGGCGGCATGTAAAGGGGATGGTTATAAGAGTCATTTTCTAAGGTTACCCACATCTTATTTGACACATGTTGAATTTGTTTGAGTTGTTATTACAACTGTCACTAAAACACATGTAACCAGTTATAAATTTGACATTGAATAGAAGACAATTAACCTTCTTTGGACTATAGCCTCTATTTTTAGATGGTATCAGAGCATAGAAAGCTTCTATCCTCGGCCCTAGTTCTTTTGAACATCTGCTTTAATTTTCCTTTTTGGTTGGAGATCAATGGCAACAGACAGTTTCACCAACGGTGAAAAGTTCGTCCATCTACCGTCACCATTTTACCTCCACCCATCTGATAACCCAGACACCATTCTTGTTTCATATCCTTAACAGGAGAGAACTATCCTACCTGGAAATGAGCCATGCTAAACGCACTCAAGGCCAAGAACAAGGTAGGCTTCATCGATGGATCAATCGAGAAACCAGACTCCTCAAAAACTGTTGAGCTATTGGCATGGAAGAAATGTAATTCGATGGTTATTTCTTGGATTTTCAATGCACTGGCTTGAGAGCTGCACGAGAGCATTGTGTATATGGAGAATGTCATGAAATCTAGCTTGACATGGAGGAAAGATTCTCACAAGAAAATGCTTCACGCATTTTCCACCTGAAGCGAGAGATAATCTTGTTACAACAAGAAAACATACTGGTCTCCATCTATTACCAAGATGAAAGCAGTTTGGGATGAACTTGCAACATATACAATGACTCCAATGTGTTCATGGAGTGGAACAAGAAATGAATTCTTGGCAAATAAGGAGAAAGAACATGTATACCAATTTCTTCTTGGACTTAGTGATCGATTCAAAACAATCAGATCCAGTATACTTGGTATGGATCCATGCCTAACATATGACGTGTTTATGCACTTGTCTCTCAAGAAGAGAAACACCAGGCACTGGCCAGCAATTGGACCCCTATCATTGAAGTAGCATCGCTACACATAGCTGGATCTTCTCATCCCAACAACAACAAGAATCAAAAAGAACGATCCAAAGTTTAATGCGAGCATTGCAAGAAACATGGGCATTCTAAAGATCGATGCTATGAATTTGTGGGATACCCTACAAATTGGGAAGTAAAGAAGAAAAATCCAAGGAAGCAAGGCATCCTTAATGAACGAGTTGGCGAGTCTGGCAACTCCAAGATAGCGGCATCGGTTCAAATTGCTATAGTAACCGAAACCTCATAACCAATTCTTGGCCTCAATCTTGAACAATATCTTCAACTTCTTCATCTACTAAATGGAGAAAAGTCGGGAATCTCAGCAAACTTTGTTGGTAAGCCTTCCCAGTCTCATTGCATTTTATTATCTAATTCTTGGCTTTTAGACAGTGGAGCTTCAAATCATATGACTTTTTCCAAATTCAGCCACCAAAATATTCCTTCCCTTGAGGGAAAACCTTGACCAATACAATTACCCAACGAAACTCTTCTCCCTGTCCACTCTCAAGGAAATGTTTCCATCACAAATGATTTTATCCTTAAGGATGTGTTATTCACACCAAAATTTTGGTGTAACCTCTTGTCAATCAGTAAGATTACATCACAGCTAAATTGTGATGTTATTTCTTCCCCACATTTTGTATCTTATAGGACCTGACATCCAAGAAAGTGATTGGGGTGGGCAAGATGCTTAATGGCCTCTATCACTTCAGTGGGCCTGTGCCTTCACAACCATCTGCTCTACATTCTAGTCAAGACTCCACTTTCAGCCTCTAGCATTCCAGATTTGGACATGCTTCATACAACAAGGTGTCTTTAATCCTAGAATTACATGTTACTGTAACTAGCAATAAATGTTGTTGTATGCGGGCAAAACAAACACACTTTCCATTTCCAATCAGTACCACTCATTCTGAGTTTCCTTTTGAAGTTATACATGTGGGGGGGGGGGGGGCTATAGAACCCCATCCTACACCAGTGCTTGTTACTTTCTTACAATAGTTGATGATTTTTCTCGAGAAACTTGGGTATATCTATTAAAATGTAAATCTGATGCTTCTGCATTTATTCTTTTCTTCTTTTCAATGACTAACACCCAATACCATACCACTATTAAATGCGTGAGATCTGATAATCGAGCTGAGTTCACATTTGGTCCAATTCAAGCTTACATGATGTAGCATGGAATTCTGCACCACACCTCTTGTGTGGACACCCCTCGACAAAACGAGGTCGTAGAGAGGAAGCATAGACATCTCTTAGAGATAGCCAGAGCACTGAGATTTCAAGTTGGACTTCCTATCCAATTTTGGAGCGAATGCATATTGACGATTGCATACCTAATTAATCAACTTCCCTCTTTAGTAATCCATGGCAAAAGTCCCTTTCAACTGCTTCTCAATCGAACACCTTCTTATTAACATTTGTGGAACTTTGGGTATTTGTGCTATGCAAGCACTTATATGCATGGTAGAGATAAGTTTGCTGCTTGTTCAAGACAATGTGTGTTAATCGAATACCTACATGGCCAAAAAGGTTATCGGCTATATGATATGAACACCAAGCAAGTTTTTGTTTCACAGGATGTAACTTTCTGCAAGCAAAGCTTCCCATTTCTATCTTCTAAAGTTAATAATATAAGAAACTCACATGTAATTTGATAACCCTGCATTTTGATGCCTTAAGGGCATCAATTCAGGGGTATTTTCAGCCTTAGAATAGTCAAAGTGTATCATTTTCCCAGTTAAAATCAATTATGTGACCTCTAAAGGCCTCTGTGCAAATTATGTAGAAAACTATGAAGTTTTCTAGGCTGAAGTGTAGTTTTTGGGAAGCTGGTGTGAAGTACAGCTGAGAGAGGGGGTGTTTTTGTAAAGAACTGAGAACAGGAGGGCGCCTCCTATCTACTAAACCTAGTTGGCGCCCATCCTATTGTATTACCATACTCCCCTCTCCTTAGCAAATCCTAGGGTGCCTTTTTTAACCTAATCTTTTCACTCTTAGCAAACCCTAGCCACCCCTAGATGTTTAATCTCCACCCTCCACCTCTTTTAATCTCAACCACTCAATTTAGGGCTCTCCTTTATAGCTTTTAAACCCTAGGGCACCACCTATTTCGCTAATCCTCACCATTCAACCCCTCACCTTCAAATCTCAACCACTCCCTCCATCTTATATCCCAACCATTCAATCTAGGGCACCACCTATTCTTTTAATCTTAACCCTTCAACCCTAGATGTTCTAATCTACACCCTCTATTTCTGGGTGCCCAAATCTCAGCCCTACATAATATTAGGCGCCGCCCTCTCCTTTTATTTACAGTCATAGGATCACCCCAAAACCATCTTAGTCATCCATTAGAAACCCTAGGGCGTCCCTAACTTTGCTAAATCTCAGTTGCCTCCCCCCTCTTTCTCTCTAATTCCAGTTATATCTAGCCATTCTGAACTTTTTGCCTCCTTCCTTCAATCAATTCATAATGAATTACAATATGAACAAGCTAAATGTTAGCCTTCAAGAACTTAGCAATATGTTGTAGAGGGCCGAAGAACTGATAAAGAAGGATGAGCCCATAGCCATGCTTGTTGAAGGTGGCAAATTGGGCAAGAAGAAGAGGAAGGCAAAGAAGAAACCTCAAAAGAAAACTAGCAAGCCTAAAAAGCAAAAGACGGACAAGGCATCAGATGCCTGTCACTTCTGCAAATAGACCGGCCACTGGAAGAGGAACTGTCCTCAATACCTAGAGACCAAGAAACAAAGTAATTTCGAATCCTTTATCATAGAGACCAATATGTTGGTCACTTCTGCTTCCTAGTGTATTGACTCTGGGGCTTCTACTCATGCATGTAATACATTGCAGGGGTTCAGGACAAGCAGAAGACTGAGTGACGGAGAAGTGATTCTTTACTTGGGAACTTCTACAAGTGTTGCAACTATATCCATAGGACTGTAGAATTGTATTTCAAAGAAGGAATAATTACATTAAAATATTGTCTTTATGTACCCAATTTGAGAAGAAATTTGATTTCCATTTCAAAACTGTGTGCGGATGGTTATTCTGTTCTTTTTAGTAATGTGACTACTATCAAAAA